TTCTGAAAGAATAAAATTGGAAAAATGCAATTAATGATTCATATCTTTATTATAGGATAGACAGGTGGATTTATTTGTTTTTCATTATTATTATTTATTCACTCCTAAAATAAAATAATACGTAATTATACATGTTAGTCCTATTTTCAAGTATATGTTGAAGAACACATACTATTAATTATTATAAAAATTTAGAAAACCTTAAATAATGTATATGCCTGGAGGGTTACCTAAAAAATAACATATACATATATTTTTAAAAAAAGTCCCCCACAACGAACAAAAAAAATATATCATTGCTGGTTCTGCCTGCTTGTCCTTTCCTTGAAGAAATGGCTAAGATTGGACCTATTTGGTTACCTATTTTTTCAACAGTTTTGTTCTAAAAGGACAAGAAAAATGAAAAAACCTGTTTGAAATGTGTTTTTTATTATTTATTATGAAAAACAAAAAGTTAAAAATTATTTTGAAGAACTAACAAACCCAAATATTTTTTAGATATTTTATTACTTTTTATTATGCAAAACAAGAGAAAAAGCAGAAAATATCATGCTTTCATTAATAAAAAATTATATTAATAAAATAAATTATTCTTTCACTTTTTATTTCACCAATTTAAATAGTTTTTCAAAATAATGATTTAAATATGTTTTTTTTCATTTATTATTTTCAAAACTTGTTCTGAAAAACTATTCTATATAATTGTTTTGAGAACATAAAAATAGAAATCAAATCAACTAAGCCCAAATTTGTTTCTAATAATGGATGCAAATGAGGTTAATTAAATTATTTTATTCTCAATCAAATACGTACACCAGCGTGTTTGTACATATTAAACTAAAGTACTTGGTTTAGAGTTGGAAATACAGACGAGCCCGGCCCTTAAGGGCCCGAGCTCTAAAGCCCGGTTCCTTATTTTGAACCCTATTTCTCAAGCCCTGCCCTTATATGAAGGGCTCAGGGCCAAGCCCGTAAGCCATTTTTCAAAAAAATAAAAATAAAATTAAGCATTATAAATTAATTAAAATATTCTAAAATTAAAAAATAAAATTCTCATAATTTTTTAAAAATTAAACAACACACATTTAGAAATATAGTAATAAAATTTAAATCTTGGTTAAAAAATAATTCATTTTTTATAAATATAAAAACATAATAATTATAGAAACATAAAAAATATCAGAAATTTTATACTATACACTGATATTTATTAAATTATATTAAATCAATTTTAGAAGAAATTAAAATTAATAATAATATAATATGTGTAAGATCAAGTGAGCAGGTCATTGGTTTCAAACATGTGTTTCACCAAAGAAAAAATAATAATAATAATATAACAGGGCTTGAAGGGCTACCCGAGCTCGAGTCCTTTTTTACAGGGCTTATCAGGGCCAAGCCCTCAAGTCCGATTACTTTAAAAAAATTTATTTTTAAAACCCAAACCCTTATTTAAACAGGGCCTCCAAATCCGGCCCTCCAGGCCCGACCTTTACTCTCGACTCTAACTTAGTTCCTGTGATACATCTGTTTATCTCTACATTCTTTTTTAGATTCACCATTTTTGTGTTTATGTCTCTTTTTGCGGAATATGTGAATTTTCCAAATTTTTTTATGTTGGAATTCCAAGTCTCACTTTGAGGTCATGGGGATCATCGCGTTCATATCAACAAGCTAATAATAATAAAAGCATATCTCTTCAATTTATGAACATAAAATACTTAATATGTTTTGGGGAAATGGCAAGTAGGTACCTCATAAAAAAATTAATCTCAAGTTAAGATCTTTTAAAGATTTAGTACTGATGAAACATGAGAAGAAATTCTTAAATTCAATACATTACATCATCCATAATCCATTCAATAAAAACGTTACATTTAAATATAATTAAATGTAAATTGACCATAACATTAATGATAGTATAGAGAAAAAATGTAAGAAATTAAATAGGCATTTCATTATAAAAATAAAATAATTAAAAATAATAAAATATAATATTTCATTTGATTAAACTGGTGCAATTTTATTGAATGAAATATATATAAACTTGTGCATCGAGTCTATTTAAAATTTGTTTTGAAAGATGAAAGTAGTACTGAATTTAAAAACTTTAATTGTGAAGAAATCTTAACTTAGACATTAATTTTTATGAGATCCTTATCTATCGTTCTCTCATAGATGTTCTTTGTTTATTTTAATGGCACCGTGAGCAGCTGTGAAGTTGAAGTATCCGGTTCTCTGAATTCCCATTTTCTTCAGTTAAAATAATAATAATGTTAATAATGATAATAATGATAATGATAATAAAATATCCATTTTATAATGCCTTCTTAAAGATTATCCTTTCATTATACTCGGTGGGTGGGTTGAAAAGATGAAAAAAGAAAGAAATAAACCAAATCCATGCAGATTATATATTGGGATATCTTCTTTTTCTGACTTTTTTTTGGTTGAATTAATGTTGATGGGTACTATAATGGAATCACAAAGGTTGTTTCACATATGTTAAATAACAGTATTTGCATCATTTTTATTCCCTTTTTTTTTTTTAATTTTTGGCACTTGTTTTTGAATATTTTTGGTATTTTGGACATTATTTAGATTTATTGGACTTGGGGTTGTATGGTCAAATAAATACCCAATGCTTGAATTCACTTTCAAAAATTATATCTTCTTACATTCACCAAATTCACTTTCAATAACATTTTTAAATTACTTTTACATTGTACTTTCATCTACTTATTTTTTTTTAAATAACATCTCACATTTCAAAAGTGGGAAAGTACTACCCACAAGCCAAATATAGTTTATCCAAACAAGCTTTCAATTTGTAATTTTGATAATTTTTAAAATAAAAGTGTAAATAATGATAATTTTAAAAGAATTAATTCGATACATGAAATTAATTTGGACTGCTCAAAATTGGGTCTTTGGATAAGTTTTTTCATGACCCAATGATGCAAGATACAACTGACAAATAAATAGAAGCCCAAGGTGAAGCTTGTCAATTTTCAATTTCCTATTTTATTTCTTTTTCTTATTTTTTTCTCACTTACATGATCATGTACCATGCATAATATAGTTTTTTATTTTGATTTATTAACTCTTTTTTTTGTTAATTTTATTTTTCTAGCATTTAAATAAATCATCATAAATATTTTATCATACACGCATATATTCTTAGACATACATTAACTCCACTTCTTGGAAACAACACACACTTTTGAGTTGCCAAATATGATTTAAGTGCATTTTGTAGAACGTCATTTTTCGGGAAGGCAAGTTCATCTTCTTCAATCTTTCAAATTAGGCAGAGTAGTTTGAGAAATTCTGACATGGGCCAAATATAATATGTCATTCATGCTCTATTTAATAAAAATATGATATTCAAATGATATCAAATATAAATTAATCTTAACATTAACGATAGTAATTAAAAATAGAAAAGTCAAAAAATATATTCTATTATAAAAATAAAATTATTAAAAATAATGACACATAAAATTTTATTTAAGTAAATTAGTACAATTTCATTGAATAAAGCATGGACAATATGATATACCAAATTCATACAAGAATTTCTCCTATCTCACTAACTTCTTCCACTCTCCCACCCCTACACCATCTTATCTTTTCATATAAGCGTGCACTTGATTACATTCGTTAGGTTAAAATTGAAAGTTAATCCCATGGTATTTTTAATTATCTCAAGTATTTTATCCGGCTTTTTAATAAAAATCTAAAAATAAAATACAAAATAAAAAAGATGAATTTTCATAATGATAATTTAAAAAGTAAAAGAGAAAATAATAATATATTGATTTTTTTATGCACATTAAATTTTGAAATAAAATTAACAAATAAAAATAAACTAAAATAAAATATCCAATAATAATTTTAAGGATAACACGTCTATGAGACATTTCTTTTTATGATTTCAAATCCATTGTGATCTTAATGATAACACACAAACAAAATGGAAGACTTTGAGTTGAATGAGAAAGGTAAATAAGAAAGAATAAGGATAAAAGTCAAATGGAAATAACCGAAGGATTTTGATTATGATTCGAATGGGTCATTAATAGGATAAACTGTATGAAATGCATATAAGATCAGGAAAAAGAAAAGAAGAGAGAGCTCTTTCTATGCCTACAAGGGAAAAACAGCCACAAGGTTGAGGAAACCACAATTATTTTAATTAGTTTGTAGAGGTATAATTAACTTTTTAAATATAATTAAGAATATATTGAAATAAATTATAAATATATATATTTAAAATTAAAATTGATAAATTATAAATAAATATAAATGCATTTTTATGTATTAGAAAATAAATATAAATGATCTATTTTATTATTATTTTTTGATAATCTATAAATGTAAATTATCTATTTTATATCTGATGATTATTTTATTAAATATATTTTATTTCAATATTGACATTTATAACACTAGGCATCTTTTAAAGTAATTGCCACATCCCAAGGGTTGCTTGGTTCAATGTAAAAGAATCCCACATAGTGAGATCCAAGTTAGTCTGGCTAAATGGTTGGAATTTTTTAAATTTTCTAAGAAAGTAATATAAAAAATAAAAAATATTAATTATTATATGCTTCCTCTATTTAAAAATATAAGATATTTTTTTAAGTTTTGAATGTTAAAAATATAATATATTTTTAATCTTTCATTGTATAATCGTTGTTTTTTTTAAAAAAATATTCTTATTAAATAAATTATTTTATATTTATTTTAAGGTGAAACACTCTATTAAATAGAGATATAATTAATTAAAAGATAAATAATTATTTTATTAAAAAATAAAATTTAATTAAAAATGTATGACATTTTTAAAAGAAGGGAGTAAAATATAAAATTTAGATTATCAAGGATTATTCTAGGATTTAGATTATATTTGATAAGAATATTTATTAGAAAAGTTATTCTATTTAGAAATAATTAAAAATGACAATATGAGGCCCAGCCCAAACGGATCGACCGAGTTCAGCGCAGCTCTCGGTTTCCGTTCTCCGTCTCTCACTCTCTCTCTTCTCCTCCGAAGAAATTCAGTGTGATTTTTGGAGCCAAACCTAACCTCTCGAGCGCGCATATCCAAAGTTTGAAACTTGACAACCTTAAAGTCCTTTAACCACATTTTCCCTTGTGACTGAGAATTTTTCGACATGGATAGCCTTCAAGCCACGTACAGAGACGATGAGGATGAAGAAGACCTGTCAGCTCCCACCGCCGCCGCCGCAGCCGGCTGTGGCACTGACGCCGAATCTCAAGATGTTCCTCCAGTTACTACCAGCACTCCTTCAGACACCCCAACTGAAGCAAATATTGATGCCAAATTGGAGCCTGATCCCTCCGATGAGATATCCGAGGACGAAGCGATGTCTGACGGTTCTGGGGACCCTAAGAAATCGCCAAAATCCGGAAGAGAACTGGAGAATGATGAGGAAGACGAAGATCCACCTCCTAAGAAGCAGAAACAGCTTTCTTCTCTTACGACCGAAACTGCAAAGGATGAATCGTCCGTATTGCCTGATGCAGTTGATGGGAATAATGGTTTGAGTAATGCCGCTGCTGTGACGCCAGGGTTAGGAACAGGGACGAATTCGAAGAAATCGAAGAAGAAAAGTAACAATGTGTGGGTGACAAAATCAACTCGGAAAGGAAAGAAGAAGAGTAAAACCAACAATAACAACAACCCTGTTGAGGACACTGTTCTTATCACCCCTGTTCCAAGGTTCCCCGATAAAACCGATGATACTTCAGACATGAAAATTTGTTTGTCTAAGGTGTACAAAGCAGAGAAGGTGGAACTGAGTGAGGATAGGATGAGTGCGGGGAGTACAAAGGGTTATAGAATGGTGAGAGCAACGAGAGGAGTTGTTGAAGGGGCATGGTACTTTGAGATAAAGGTTGTGAAGTTGGGGGAAACTGGGCATACTCGCCTAGGATGGTCAACTGAGAAGGGAGACTTGCAGGCACCAGTTGGCTATGATGCAAACAGTTTTGGATACAGGGATATTGATGGGAGTAAGATACATAAGGCATTGAGAGAGAAGTATGGAGAGGAGGGGTACAAGGAAGGTGATGTTATTGGGTTCTATATTAATTTGCCAGATGGAGCGACGTATGCACCCAAGACACCACATTTGGTTTGGTATAAAGGGCAAAGATATGTTTGCGGACCAGATGCAAAGGAAGATCCACCCAAAGTGGTGCCCGGTGAGTGGCTCCTTGTTTTTTTTATGGGCAGTTTGTTTTGTGTGTGTGTGTGTGAATTGATTATGCAATGGTTCATTATTAAACTTTGTCTTAAGTTTGCTGGATAGCAAGCAGAGCCTCTGACATAAATCCCAATCATTGGAATGATTTTCACCTTATCTGCAATAAACGCTTCCCCATAATTTTTTATTGATTTTTGATAGACTACTGACATCAAAATGAAGGCTAGTGATTGAGAAGATATGAAGTTCTAATCTACTGATTAAGGACAGACGTTGTAGTAACTTTGGTCTTTATGAAGATGGAATATTGTTGATCTGTTACATTAGGCTGATTTGTCAATAGCACGAGTTTACTTCTCTGCCAATTCAAACCTCTGACTTTGATGTAAGAGTATTGCACACCAACCAAATAGCCAGAGTTGTTCTGGCAGCATGAATTTTTCTCGATAGATTATAAAACAATGAAATTTTGAGTTTTTTTTTTTTTTTGGGTTAGTAATATCAATTTAGAGTTTTCTTAAACAATGTAAACAGCGTTTAGTATAATATATAGAGGACGAATTTTTGTGTTAATAAAATGCATGAACTCTGGGAAAAAAGTTGTGTTCGTAGGTGACAGACAGACGTGTCTGATGGACACATGTATTAAATCAAATCTGATGCATTATAATACAAATGGGTACTTTGAAGTTTTGTGTCTCAATGTCTACGAAGCACAGATACTTCAAAAAATGTATCCGTATCCAATACGTATCCGATATGATACTTGTAGGATACTTTTGCATGTGTATCCCATATTCTAACATTTGTAATATGATTTTTTTTCATAATTTTTTATTATATCACTTAAAAACTTTAGTCAATGTTTGTGTTGTGTCTCATGTGCACATTAGTTTTCATAAACTGCAATTTATGAGAAGCAACAGAGGTATGGGTTATGCAGGTCCAAGTTTCTGATTATATTGCTAATGCAAGGATTTTTTTTTTTTGTGATAAATAAACTGACACGTATGTTCCTTTAACTAAAATCTGGGGCGACCCAACTGAACTTGCACACATGCTCATACTGTACTTTTGTAGTTACAGCAGTTTCATATACTTGGAATTGCGAACGTAAAGGAAGATTCAGTCTGAGGATTTCATAGGAAATCATGATCTCTACTAATGGTGCGTTTAGTACGTGGAAAATTTATTTGAAGAAAGGAAAATGTGAGGGATTTCCGTGTTTGTAGAAGAGATCTTTCCCATTCTCATTTTATTCCAATGGACCCTAGACGTTGTAACGGTAATGGTTATGCTGCTATTGTGATTGCTGATGTTATCTTGGAATGATTTTTTCTGCCATCTCCCATATGTTGGGACTTTAAATGGGGCCTAACGTAAAATTGATGGCAACCTAATGTCTTGCATACTGCGCTCAGGTGTTCATGGAATTGGTGGGGAATGGGTTTGGCACAAATATGTTGCTGTGTATGGGGTCTGGCTTCTTGGGTCTAGTAAAACATGTACCCCAGTACTGACCATTGTAGGATGTAGGTTCTCTGATATCAGGCAACAAAGTATGGGTCTCATTTGCGTTGTGTTTGAAATGGACACTTCCAATTGGCTTGAAAGGCCCCAGTGGCATTCTCTTTCTAGTTACACCACCAAACAATTCTGGACTTATCGGCCGTCGTTGAAAATGGGTTGTCCAAATATGTCTACTCAGCCTGTAATATCCAAGGACAACAATGTTCTATGACTTTGATCACCTTTATCACTCCTTTCTCTACACTTTGCATCTGAATTGTGATATTTTCGATCTCTGATACTAACCAATGATAGTTTTTGATAGAAGGTGCTTGACTTCTCAAAATCAGGATATATATGTGTGTGTATATATATATATAAATGGAACACCATCTTGATTAATTGTCTTTCAGACGTCAATGAATGTCATTTTTTTAAAAGTAATTATCGCTGAAATCCTGGCATCATCCAAAGCTGAAATTTTGGGATTAATTCAGATCACAATGAAATTAAGATGTAATCTTTTTTTTTTTTTTTTTGTGGTGCTCTGATTCATTATCTCTTAATCGTTGAAAGTCTTCCTAAATCACCGAGCTGATGATGTGTGTGCGCATGTAGGGGAACTCAAGTTATTTGGTCATGTTGATATAGTACATATTTACTCGTTATTGGCGCAACATAGGGCTAGAACGCTCAGAATTAGAAATTAGAATTTTATGGTATTTTGAAAATTCTACTAAGGATTCAGCTGATCCTGTCGGGGTTTGTTATCAGAAGCTGACAGTTGAAGCTGTCTGCTCTGTATGCAATATCTGTTAATGTAAAAACAGGTGAATGGTCTTGAATAGGTGCTTTCTCAGACTTGACTGGCTGGTATTTAGGCAAACTGAGTTCTTATACAAGAATGGCCTTGGGGCTAGAGGATATCATGTTCTGTGTACTGATTAGGGCTAGCATTGGCATAAAATTGAAGGTGATATTGGAATTGGTGCTTATGTAGTATCATTCTATGTGGTTTGATATCTAAAAACCAGGTTTAGGGAAGATATTGGGTTTGTACTCTGGTAAGCTCCAGAGCAGCTAAATTTTGTTCATGCATTTGTACAAGTCAGTCAGGTGGAAAATGAACTTGTTATTGTAGTTTGATCCTGATTTGATTCCGTAGACAGAATTGAGAATCGACTGATTGGAAAATGGGAGTGATTGTCCCTGGGACCTTTGATAGAGGCATATAGAATCTGTAAAGGCCAGTGGCCTATACTGTCATACAAATGAAAATGCAGTTTGCATTGAATAATTGCTTTCTCTAGAGAAATCCAGCAACCGTCCTGTTAACCTAGTAAACCGTTAAGCCAGTATTTTTGACCGATTTAATAAAATGCTTTCTTTATGATCAGTTTGACGACAGTTTGACTATGATTTTGATTATTAACTCTTGAATCAATATTTTGACTAGTTTAATGGCCGGTTTGATTTTCAGTATCTTGGCTGTTACTGGATGAGCATTTTAGAGTCATGGTTTATTCTCTTGCGGTGTATGTTGCAAGCATTGAAATAATCAATATTCACTGTTTCAATACTGTATTCTCTGTGCAGGAAGTGAGATATCTTTCTTCAGAAATGGTGTATGCCAAGGAGTAGCTTTCAAGGATCTTTACGGTGGTCGCTATTATCCCGCAGCTTCGATGTACACCCTCCCCAACGAGCCGAACTGCACGGTCAGGTTTAACTTTGGTCCACAGTTCGAATTATTTCCTGAGGATTTCGGTGAACGGCCGATTCCGATGCCAATGGTTGAAGCTCCATATCATGGTTTTGACAACAAAGTTGAAAATGTTGAGTCTAACGAGAAGAAATCCTAGCAAGTCTTAGCCCATGAAATTACTGGGTATGACATTGCACAGTTGGTTGTAATTCTAGTTGGTTGTTAAAATGAAAACTGAGAATCACTAATGGATAGATTTTTGATGTAGACTCTTTAACAGAGAGAAATTGTCCATGTGAAATACAGAACATGTGTACAAAGTTTTGGCATTGTCTTTTGGGGTTTTTGATTCTGCATGTTTGTTGCAATTAAATATTCCGTGTCACTGAGAATGATTTTCTTGAAGCTCACATAAAAGATGAAAGGTGGTTTGAAGTTGCAATTGAGGAAGGATCTGCGCCAAAAAAATTTCATAGAAAACTTGACTATGACTTCTGTGTTCAAGGCAAAAACCAGAAGTACTAGAATTGAATGTTGAGGGCCATGAGTGCCATGTCTTTGAATTATTGAAAGTAAGGGTGTTTACGGGATAGAATTGGGATACCTTTGTCCTATATTCTATCTTTACAAAAAGACAGATTGAATTTTTGTCTCATGTCTTATTCCGTTTTGCAAGTTGTCCTGTCTCATTAAAAATTGGTATAGGATTGGGACAAAATTAGGACGTTCTATCATCCTGATAAATCATACAATGTTAGAAAAAAATTCAAATAATAATAGTTATTAAAATTTTAAATCATATAATTTATTAAATTTAAAATCAAAACAATACAAGTACATAAATTATAACAATTTAAAGTCAATTATTAAATTATATTAATCGTAAATATACATTATGATAGCAATTATAAGTAATCTTTAGGCTATAAGAATAGCAACAACAGGCAGATTAAGCACAACATCAAATCTTTATTCTTCTACTTTAGTTAAAATTTGTTAAGTTGATTACTCTTTTGAAAATAAAGCAAAAAATATGATATAAATGAAAATTATTAAATAGATATATATATATATATATATAAGAATAAATTTTATTAATATAATTAATATATTATAAAGAAAGATATCGCCCTGTTAACTTTATGTCATTAAAATTATTAATATAAAAAATTTTAGTTTTATATAAGAATTGCAAATATTGAAATTATAATTGATATGACTAATTATATTAATATAATTAATATATCTAATGTATATTTTCAAAATAAAAAATAATATACATATATATAATATTCGGGACGGGATGTCCCGATGGTAATCTTGTGTCCCATCTCATCTTAAACCCCTTTCCTATCCTGTCCTACAAAGTCTGGTCTCGATTGTTTTCGGGCTAGGACAAGACCCATCCCAATATGATCGAGACAATACCAAACTAATCAAGACAAGTACAAGCTGAACACCCCTAATTGAAAGCACAAATGATTTTTTTTTCAAGTAATCAATTTGATATTTACAAGAGAAAATGATAATAAAATTTTTTCAAATTATATAAATAACAATCTAGTTCCTCAAAATATTATAATTCTAATGAAGTTTTTAGGAATTTTTGTGTCAATAAATTTTTAAGTGAAAGGACCATTTTATCTTCGTTGAAAGTAAAAAGTTTTAGTCATAACTTTTATTTAAAAAATCATAACTTTTATTTTATAAATTGTAAGAGCTAAAAAAATTACAACTTATCAAGTATAATTTTTATTATTGAAAAACAAACTCTAACATAACAATACATAATAACTTTATTCTGTGAATCGTAAGAGTTTTTCTAACGGATATTAGAACAACTAAAACTAAATAATAATAATAATAATAATAATAATAATAAAACTTAAAAAGCACATTGAAATCCAAACACCCATTGTGTCGTCCAAAACCTATTTAAGGCCTTCCATTGCACAGTCGGTCCTATTTTTTTATTTTTTTTAAATCATGATATTTACAAAAGCACGCAAAACACCAAGGTTGTACAAACTTCTATTTTTTATTGCTTATAAGAGCCTTCTCATTAGAGACATTAAATATAAACACGTCACTTTATAGAAATTTGAACTTTGATCATGAAAGATTAGTCATTTCGACTACACCCAACTCCATTGATACACAAAATCCTATTTTTATTATTCATCAAATCACATTGGGTCAATAAATGCGCTCTACCTCAATCACGGAGTCTTTTATTTTTATTCTAATAAATGAGATATTTTTTTTGTTAAATTTTTTTTAGAAGAGCAAAATTTTTTCTTTATTAGTGATCCATTAACTCTGTCATTTTTTATTGACGTGGTATATCTTATGGTATTAATTTATTTTTAAACTCTTTTTTTAGGAACGCTGAACACCTTAAAGTTTTATTAAAACAAAATTTAATACACATTATTCAAATTTTTAATATTTATTAATAAAATAGTCTTTAAAAATAATTAATATTGATTAAGTCTCTTACATTTTCTATGTCATTTTCTATAATCTTTTTGGTCAATTAACAGTTAAATTAACGGATATTTAAAAATGAAGTGTCACTTACTTTTAATTAGTATTTTCATATCATACAATATGTTTTAAATTTTAAAATTAGGAAAATGAGTTATAAATTCAACAAGACAATATCAATTTTATCCATTTATTTAAAAGTTCATTCCCTTCATTCAATACAAAATTGTAAAATATCAAAATATTAAATTTGAATAGTGCAATATTTTGGAAGAACATTGACAGTTGACAAAAGAATTATAAAAAATGACCTGAAATTTCCAATTATTATTAATTTTCTTATAAGGTCATTGTCTATAATTTATTTGAAAATATTATTGCTATTATTGTTAGGGGTCAAGTGTATTTTTGCCTTGTATTTTTTTTTTTTAAGAAACACTTAGTACCTTATACTATAAATGGAACATTTTTCTCCTAAAATGGATCACTAACAAAGAGGAATTTTTACTCCTCTAAAAAAATGATTTTGAGAAAAAAATATTTCATTTATTAATATAAGGTGCTCGTTGCTCCTAAAAAAGTATTGATGTACAGGGAAAAAAAACAGACTTTAACCCTTATTTAATTAATGCATGCGTAAAATTTGCTTAAAATGTTGATATCTTGCGAGTTAATTACTTTGAAGATGAAGATCCTACCATGTGACTGATCTGTTATGCTATGCATACCCTATTTCTTGTGCTCGTTAGGAAACTTCACAAAATTCTCACCTTAGAAGATCCATTTCATTCATTCAACATCTCTCTCTTTTCTGTCCTGGTCTTTTTTCTTTTTAATAAAATGATCAACATATAAGTAAGTTACAATGATAAATTTACCAATGATGAAGTATTAAAAAAGACATCAAAGGACATCTAGATTTTTCTATGGAAAGCGAGAAAATTTTGAAACCATTGAAAAGTGAAATAAGGTCTCTCTTGAATAGATCATTCCAAGCGGAAGATTCAAGTACGTGAGCAAAGAAATACTTTGATAATCATTCTAGCAATGCATTATCCAGTGTTGGAATTTACATAAAATCCACCCTCGGTGAGCTATCAATAGGATATGACATAAATCCAATAATGATGAGTTGACCAAAATTTGAAATTGATTTCAATAATTTCTAATTGAATTCTAAAAGGAGAAGTAATTCTTCACAATAATGATGATTATTTCAATCAATTTGTTCACTTCATAATGAGGTGAATTATTTTTAATTGGATTTCTCTTTTTGAAAGTGACCTCACTCCACTATAAATAGAGACAGGTGGTTGAAGGTAGAATACATCCTAAAATATAACATTCTCCTTATTATCCCAACACTTAGCTAAAGCCTCCATGGTAAATATGGATTAAACCATACAATTATCAAATCATGGTTGTAGACTTTAACCAATTATTAAAAGGCTAACCATAGTAGGAAAGAAAAGACAAATAAAAGGTCTACTATCATTTAAAAAGTTCAAAATAAGTATTAGAATACTAACTTCACAATCCAACAACAACTTCATTTGAAAATATAAACCTTTCAAAGTTGAATTCTTAAGTTTAATAACTTATTTTAGAATCAAATATAAACTAATTTAAAACAAAATAAAAACATATATGAAAGCGTGAAAATCATATCATATAAGGTAGCAAATTAATTTAGGTTTAAAGAGCCAAAACGGCATTTCTGGCACAATACGTCGCGACATAAGGCACGACAAGCATACTTCAACAAAGTTTGGAATTATACTGTGGCGTAATATTTTACACTAAAGCATAAAATGTAAAACCCATGGCAAACTTTCTGGCCAAACTTTCAACGCATAACAAATCTTATCCGATGTTTGATTGACGTGATCTAAGTATCCACGAAAAGCTCATTTAGTGTATTAGCTAATGGCATTAGTCTCATTTACAAATTCTATCATATTAAAAACTTGGACACTTGGAACCAAAACTATCACTTTCTCCCATTTTTCAACTTTCACCAAAGTGCCATTAGCCCACATGTAATGTCCACCTTAATATTATCAGAACAACACTCACACATCGTTATGATAATTAGGATTAAATAAAATCCTCTAAAGAAGTTACCACAACTCAAGGATTTAAAGATAATTAGTTTAAAACATTGGGATCCCAAGAAAACCTTTTTCTAAAATATTGTTTGAGCTCAAACTATGGTTAAAAATTAATTTAGAACAAGTACAGAAGTATGAGAAACAAACCACGTCAAAATTAGGCTAAAAATGCCATTCTTTTACAAATTCTACTCCGTCCACCGCGGCGGATGGCACAAAGGGACAAGTTCCTCGAAGGCCTCTTACGTCGCGGTGCACACCCACTGTCATGATAGCAGATTGCTATCATGACAACCCTCCAAAATTCCAGAAGGCTCCGTTTGGCCATTTGATGTCCGATTTCAGTGGTTCAAGTATTCACATGAAGCTCTTTGAGCCCTCTAGCTAAGGGCATTAGTTTTACACTCAAATAATCATTAATTTAAAAGATAGACACTTGAACCCAAAATGGTTCGTTTTTACTTCAAAACACACCTCAAGGGTGTCCAACTCACAATACTAAATGTCATTAGCGCCAGAGACATTTTGACCATCTCAAATGGACCACATACAACATAAAAATTTATTCACATCACACAATTAAGAAATCATGCTCAAAATGACCACCAAACCTCCATTTGACAATAACACAAGGAAGCGGATAAAATTCAATGCAAAAATTAATTGGTCATTTTGACACATAAAACACTTGAAATATACATATCACATGTAAGTGTAACTTGATCAAGCACACACA